TATATATATTTGACTATATCAGATTCTAGAAGAATCTGCCACGTAATAGCTTGCGTAATCTTTAGCGTAATAGATATCTGTTTGATCGATCAGATGTATGTTGATCGATTATTACAGTCTTTTATCACAGTCTTGGCAGACTAATGATAGAATCTAGGTGTTAGCCAAGCACCCGGATTCTGCTAGAGATCAGCTGACTAGCTTATATCTCTAACAAGTAATACTTAAATAAAGTCTTTACTAAAAGTGTTATCTAAGAGTAGTAATAGAGCTACTCTAAATTTATATTTTAGAGCTACTTTATATATAACTATAAAAGTCTTTACTATATTCTAAAGGCCTAAGACTATATAGAAGAAAAGAGATACTACTTTTTAAATTAAAGAGTTAAATAAGGCTTTAAAGCCTCTTATCAGAGAGGCGTAAAAGCTTATAATAAATATAAAAAAGTTTAAATTATATAATAAGCCTAGTAGAGTTTTATAATAGAAATAAGTAAAAGAGATAAATAAGCTAGCTTATAAGAGTAGTTATAGTAGTATTGATTATTAGTATTACTAAACTTAAGTTCTTATTTTAAAGCTAATTTTTTTTATAAAAAAGTGCTAAAAAGAGAGACTACGTGTTTTTATATAAGAAGATAAGGCACTCTTATATATTTATTACGCTTAAAGAACTATATACTCAAATGCTAAAGAAAAGTAGCTTCTATAGCTAAGTAATTTATCTAATCTTAACGCTATTAAAGTAGCTTAACTATAGCTTAAAAGAAAAATCATACAAAAAGGTGTACTAAAAAGTTAAGTAAAAAAGATAAAAGTATAGTAATAGTACTAAAATAAGCTACTTTAATACTAAATTTAAGCTTAAATAGAGCGTAGTTTGTTTTATATTTAAAAAATTATTAAACTTAAAGGTAGTAATAAGTATAAAGAGGGGCGGCGGGACTAATCTATATAGCTTTAGCCCTATTTTTGGCGGTCATTAATGCACCCCTGTTAGCAAGAACTTTTGATAGTCACCTTCGTAGATTGGCGTGACTTTTAGGTTTGCTAATTATAACTTGGAAAAGATTGTCTATTGCACCTCACGTCATCGAGCGCACAGTACCTCACGTCATCTATCGCTCTCAAATGACGCGAACTGTCACGTGAATTATTTCTCACCCCTTGCCCTCGGGCCTTCAAGCTATCGCGCCAGACTGGCACTAGTACTCAGCAATGGCGGTGAAGAAACTTGATGGTGTCAATCTGGCTTTGAGGGACTGGTAGCTCTAACCTAGCCGCTTCGAGATGCAGAGTCGCAGAGCAAAATGACGACACTTTTAAGATACAGTGTCATTACATGACAAAAGTTATGCCTGATCGCATTTCCAATGCTTTGGACGTAATGCCGGCTACTCTGACTTACCAGCTCCCCTCAGTCACGGCTGTGTCTGTCCAATATGTGGCCAGTCGTGGTGTTTCAATACGGCAGCTCAAATGAAGAGCTAGCATGACACCGTATGCCTATGAATGCGCTCAAGACTCCTAGCGTCGCACGACTCCAATTGTCCTACTGCGATAGTCGCCGAGCTGTAAATCAGTGAAATCAACATTAGAACAATCTTGCAAGATTCCATGCAGCTGTCAAACTGCCCCAACAGCTAGTCATTCATGAATATCGTGTAGCTGAGAAGCATTGAACAAGGAATTGTTGACATACTTATCTCGCCCAGACTGGTAGAAGCCTTCCCAGAAATACTGTTTACCAAAGTGATTAACAACATCTCAACCTCGACAGGCTTTGTTCCAAGATTGCGTTGACTTTTATACGTATTTTTCTTGGTATTTCATATTGTGAAACTACATAGTTAGTTGCTGAAATAAAACAAAGTTGGCTTTCTTAGCTTAACGATCGTTGACCCCAAAAAGAGTTCACATCGAATACTAAATCAACCCAGCTTCCGCTATATCACATACACTGCCGAATATATTTCGTCAGTAGTTTGAGCAGAACACAAATCACACCAAACGCACATCCCGCACAAAAATCCAGCCGTAGTGCTTCTCATTAGTCGTCGAGCCAACCGAGTCAGATTAGTCCCGTCCCATCCCGTCCCCTCGCTCATATCCTATAAGTTCGAAACGTGGCAGCGACGAGAAAATTTCTAGCTGGAGTCATCTGAAAGCGTTTCCCGGAAGTTATATGGCATGAAATCCTCGTCGCAAAATTGAAAGTCGCAGTCGTGCGAATCTGAAGGATGGCTCCGCTTAAAGTCGCAATTCTTGCAAACGTTCTGGATATCGTGTTGGACGTTTGTGTATTCATCTCGATGAACTCCTTCCCCATAAGTACCTGTTCCACACTTGTGTCTAAGCAACAATTTGCGAAACCATGCCAAATGTTCATGGACTCTGTTCATACCAGGCATCGTCAAAGTAGGCTTGATCGAAACGTACAAATTCCATTGAGGATTTGACACGATCCAGAGTAGGATCTTGTCTAAAAGCCAACCGGTTCCTCTATGAAAACACTTTCCACGATCTTCCAGTTTATGGCCCCAAATGGCAACTAACATCTGCACAAGATGTCGGATTTACCATGTGTCGTTGACTTCTTTAGAGGCTGCGCTCGTGACATAGGCGCATATTCCAGTGGGCATTGCGCCTGCGTTTATAAAAACACAAGCTTGCGAAGGGTCTGGGATACAATGAGGCTCCACGGTAAGTGAATGAACGGCCTTGGTGGATGGAAAACATTGTGCGTAAACTTTGTAAAGCTTCGCTCGCTGATTCTCGCAAACGCCCTTAATGAAAGAATCCAGTCTTCTGGCATAAGTCGTGGTCTCGCGACTGTCGTGGAAGCTAAACACGACACGATCTGATAGCTTGTCAAGGTCAGATGCGGTAGCACAAAGTACGCCAATCTGGCTATTGGCGTAACGCTGGAAGTAATCCTCGTGGCTCAAGACCCATGCTTCGCGCAGCTTGAGCCCAAGTTCTTCACCCGAAATGACCAGTTTATCTTTGTCTTCTATCTGCCTCAGATCCCAAATGCCCTCGGCGACTGATTCGGTGAGAGCAAGATACGTCAATTCTCGGATGAGCATGCCGTTGCCGTCTTTGCGGTACTGCACATGGAGCGAAATTAGGATTCTCTGTGGCGAAAGATCTTGCATGTCATTGATCTCTTGGCTCCCTGTCCAAGCCTGTTCGATGGTCTTGATATCCTGAGCGTGTGGTGGAAGGAACCAACACCGGTTCATATCAACCGTTTGAAACCTGCCACAGCCCGTTTGCGTAAGATGTGCGCGAGCAGCAGTGTTGTTTCCGGTAATGTACAGCCCTCGTACTCGTGCCTCATACTTGGCGGCATCCCAGACCCTGATATCAACATGTTTTCCAGTGGTCGCAAAGAGGGGTTGGAGAGAAGACTCAATGGTGGAGTCGGTTGCATCGAAGGCTGGTTGCTTGGGCACCCTATCTGTTTCAGGTCCGCTAATTGTAGCGACACGTCTGTCGCCATACCAAGAGTTTGCATAACCTGGTATTGAGAGAATGTCGGGTTCTTCGACGATTGTGTATGATTCCTGACGGTGTGTAGCTATAGCGGTTTGGAGGACCCAACCAAGTAAATGCAAAGCGGGGCAACATCTTGGTCTATCTAACACCTGCAAAGTGACTTTGAATAGCGCTTTAACTAGCACGTTACTATTCTCTTCCAGTATTTATGATTTTATAGTCTATCGCGAAGAACAAGGGGTATCATTTCTGATCATAAATCAACAACTCTTCCAGTATTTATGATTTTCTAGTGAATCTCGAAGGAGGAGGGAGGGGTATCACCTCTGATAGTGAATCGACAAACTTGACTTCCAGTATTGATAAACAGAAAAAAGACTCCTAGTCATGCACTCTTTACACTTGGAATTGATGTTTCGCATGCAGATATAGGAGTGCTTGGAAAATGCAAAAAAAAGGAATCAGAAAGATGCTCTCCAGCGGGGAATTGAACCCTGGTCTCCCGCGCGCTGTCAACCAGGTGTTTGACAAGCGGAAATACTGACCACTATATGAGGGAGAGGGTACTGCAGGCCCTTGTTTGCCTGGGGTGCGCGGGGGTGTAGGGTCATGGTAACCCCCTACATCAGTGGCAGAGAGGCTAGGGTGAGTCGCATGGGTTCTGCCCGCGCGGGTTCGAATCCCGCATCTGACGTTTTTTTTTTTTACAATTTTTCCCTTTTAGTCTAAGTACAGCTAGCCACAGCAAATCCAAACTGCACTTCCTAAATGTCAGATCATGCAGGAGAGTCGGAACGGGTGTAGAGACGGATGCTAATTTTCTTGGTTTTTCTGTAATGTGCATGGACGATCACGTCGTGATCTAGTGGCCATGCTGGCCGAAAGAAACTTTGGACGGGTCGACTCCTCCATTATAAAAACAAATATTAAGTGGGTAGTTTTCAGATGTAAGGGAATGGATGCTCAAAGAGGTTGGAACAGAGTCATTGCAACTATTTCAGTATAAAGGCTTCATGTTGCAGCAAGGCACAGCGCTGCGGTAGTAAGTCTCGGATTTGACTTTCGAGAGTGTATTAAATCAATTTCGATATTCAGAAAGCTTAGGGCCGTACGGGTGCAAAGGACCAAAGTCCCTGCAAGCTAGTATTTCGCGCGGATTCACAGCCCATGCGGCACGGCGACCAGCGCCAACTAGACGAATGGAGAAGGCGTACGGACAGCATAGTTCTAGGGCTGCTATTTCCCTCATCCCTTGATGCGCATGGGACAAAATGATGGGCAGGAACTCGTTCCCCGCAGGGCCTCGTAGCGTTCCCATAGAGGCAATAGAAAAACAATTGCAGCTACATGCAAGGATAAATAGACCTTTCAAAATGTACTATATAAGTATCCAGGATCTCACAAAGTATCTCCAAGACATCGATTCTAGAGCACAAGATAACATTCTACAATTCACTTATTCTTACACTACCCTACCTTGTACTCAGCCAAAGTATTTATACATTTAGTATATCTCTCCCTTGCCTTTCAAATCCAGTTACGTCTATTCTAGCTAGTGATCTTCCAGAGCAGAGAAACGACTGACCGCGGTGCATGGTTAGACTCGGAGGACTGAAAAGGTCGCTCCTGAGGGCCGCCTGAGTTGCTGCTTTGAAAGTGAGTACGCGAAATCGAAGCAGAGGCATGACTCACGGCACATTGCGGTATCCATAGTAGAAAGTAAGTCATTTTTAACACCGATGCGACCAAAAGGATATTGATATCAATATGAGGTTTCTCTAATACAGGCGGTGTACAGGTACTCCGTGATATGTGCGGCGAAATCAGAATTGCTTAGTGGAAGGCCTGGCCTGTTATTTCGATTCTATGCACGGAAATATCGATGTGCTATCATCCATGGCGTGCTAATCGTCTAAGCCTTGGAGTAATCAGGCAGGTGGCACCGCCTCTTGCGACAAGACGGAGGGCTAATTGCTTGATTATCCAGCTTCCGTAATGTTCCGCTTCTTCTTAAGCTGTCGAGCTGCACGGATTTCTTCTTGTTTTTCCTTGCTCCACGTCTTTGATTGGTGCTTCCGACTTTTTGCACTCCTCCTTTCCCTTTTTTGCAGAGCCTGGACCTCTGGATCAACCCAATGTGGTATTGGAGAGGCTGAAATTTGCCTCAGGTAAGCAAGCGTGTCGCGATCCTCTTCTTGCTCTCCTTGCTGCTTAGAAAACCCGCAAGCAGCTAGAAGAAGTAGAGCTCTTAGTGTAAAATTAGCGTCATTGCCTGCACAATGAAGACTATTAAAGGAACATCCTAAAGAAAGGAGTAAATCGCTAAGAGACCCAGCCCAATACTCAAACACCTCATTAGCGATGTAAAAGGTATCTAAAACGCTCGAGAGAAGCACTGGATACTCGAAATCGAGAGCATGTAAAGCCTGAAGGTCATTAATAATACCATGGCCTACAAAAACTACATTTCGAGCTGAGGGGATGGAAGATTGAATATGGTTGACGATGTTTGGCGGGCTGGTTGCGATTGTCTCCCCAAACATGAATTTTTGAGACGCCTTGCTCAGGTATGAAGGAGATCCTGTAGCAAAATTGTGGGTGGATATAAGCTTATCTGGAGGCATCCGGTTGATTTCCTTTGTATCAAGAATCGCAAGTCCAATTTGGCAATCTCCCTTCTGCGCAAATCCGCTCTTAATGGTGTTGATATTCTCAAAGTCTATTGCAACAAGTACCACGTCTAAAAGTTGAGGCGAGTAATAAGGGTGATGGCCCACACGAAAGATCTCTCGTAAAATCTGTAATCCGTTTTTCGCAATAAGCAATTCTCTAGGACCCGCTCCTTTAGGTATGCTTTAACTAGTTAACACAAAACTTGCTCCAAAGTAAGTTTGAGGGCACTTTACCTGTGGGAACTTGTCGCAGATGATGGCACACTGGCTACTGTGACTAACGAATCTTCCTGTTCTTGGACTGTATGGCAAGCGGCAGCGCTTTTAGGACTTGATGTCGACATAGGAGGCGCTTGCAGGTTTTTTAGGACCAGATCTCGAGGCGAACGTTGCATTAACGAAAGAAGGTGACCAAATTGTAAGAACGTATCGGCAAGGCAAATAATGTGGGCAGCCAGCCACAAGCGGCGGGGATAATTACTAAGCGAGAAGGCATGTGACCTTGCCCAACACTAATTTATCACACCCCTCTTCAAGCACCCAAGAGTAACAAAAGTTTACTGGCACTTTTACATGATTAACTAGAAGCTCAGACGATTATAGAGCCAGGTCCCTATCCAAGTACTAGCCTCAGTAAGAAGTTATAATTATCTAGTTTAGTATTTTGTTTGCAGAGGTGTGCAGGCTAGTGGCCGTAAAGGGTGGTCTAAACAAAGGGCGAGTGCGTGTCCCTCGCAGCTTAGAACTTCAAACGAAGGCGGGTAGAAAATCAGGTCTAACAAAAAGGGGACTAATAGCAAGCTAGCTGTCTTTAGTTAGCTTGGCGCTGGGTGCGCGTATAGAGGAGTGCGCCGGCAAGTGCCCAAAACCAAAGTTCACGACTCCAACAGTGATGACTCCACTGGTTGGCTGCTAGGTGCGCGAGAACACGGTGTCAACAGCGAGGGGGAGAGGTATACGTGGTATAATTATCTATTACTAGTGAGTTGTTTTTCTTCTTATTATGAAAGAAGAGAGAGAGAGAGGGTCTAGTTCCGCGCCTCTGAGCCTAAGTAGTCTAACTATAGGGATATGCGTCTACCAAAGTTGAAATAAGAGATTACATATAATCTAAAAGATAAGATAAGTAGTAACGTGCAGGGTCAGTAAGCTGGGCAGATCAGTAAGCTGGGCACCCCACCAAACTTCGCGCGACGTTCTGCGCAATTGAGCCACAACAACGTATTAAAATAATATAAAATTAAGATATATAGTTTACTATTTAGCTCTATATAAAGTCTAAGTATGTCCTTCAACATGACACTTCGTGCACGTTAGCGGCGCGCGCTAACGTCGCTCACTAGCCTAGTTCTAGCTACCCCCTATAAGTAACCTTTCTGCCTCTGCCATAAGCTGCTGAGCCTGCTGCACCTAGAGTACCCCACTAGAAGCAATATATTAACGCTATTAATTTTGCTTTTGCCGCTGACGCTAGTTCTCTTCACGTAGCTTCTTATTCTCCTCTATAAGTATTGTTGCTAATTGCATTGCAAGCTAAGCGCTCTTAGTAAGCTGGCGTATCGCAACGCTTGTTGGACTCTCTGGCTGCCGGCGCAGTCGCTCTTAGAGATACCGCACCTGCTGCTGAAGCTCTGCTACCGTATGTGGTGTCTCTGTCTGCGTTGCTACCTGCGCTATAGTGTTATTATCTGTGGTTGTCTGTGGTGGAGACGGTGTTCTAGCTACTGTGAGCGACGATAGAACGCGATCTGGACAAGGAGGGACAAGCCCTGTCGCCCGAAAGCCTGCCTGGATATTCTGCTGCGTAAAAATCTTTAGCCGGATCCGTGTATAGGCTGCAAGGAAGTCTATCTTGTTGACGTAGTAGACCCTATGCCGGGCGAGCTCCTCAACCTCGCGTCCGTACGCGCGCTTAAGAGGAGAGTAGCAGCTCACATCTAGAGGCTAGAGGAGGTGCGACGTGTGAGGCGGCATACAGAGAGTGATAATCTTATTCTCAGTGCAGTACTGGTCGAACTCTGGCGTTGCGTGGCTACCATGACCGTCTAGAATAAGCAGCCGATAGACTCCAGCTGTACGAGCCGTTGTATGCTGGTTGAAGTGCTTTACCCACTCTACGCCAAGCTGATCAGTCGTCCAGCCGTTGTCTGAGGTGCCGATAGTCCAGTCTGGTGGGAGATTGTGATACCAGCTGCTCTGGTGAACCTTGCCAGACAGTATCACGAACGGTGGCAGAGACCAGCCAGACGCGTTAACGCACTCGATCACTGTAACCCACT